TTATAACTGAATCATTCATTCAATTGATTCATTCGAACGGCTGATTCATTCAGGAATAAATCAAGTGACTGTCTTTATGAATGGGTAATCATGAATCTCTGACTAACTAGATTCGTTTAAAAAATGCCCGTTCATTCATAAACGAAACACCGCTGTGTTTGAATGGAGATGTGCAGAAGCTCCGCTGTGTCTTTGTTTTAAACTATTTTCGATTTATTGTAAGTCACTTAATATTAACTTCTTGTTTATTGAATTGTATTGTATTAAATCAGTATCACATTTACAAACACCCTTAAAAATCATTAAAAGCTGTCACTCATCTTAGTTCATCGCGAGCTCACATTTATAATCAACGAAGCTCTCTACACTGCGCATTGAATCTCTTAGTTACACCCTGTCTACACTTTGCTTATGAAAGGATTTGTGAGATATGTCTGTGATACATTACTCAACGCTCCAAAAACAAGTAGAAACCTTTGAAGCTCCCCTGAGCGCAATCACAAATATGATGATGATCATGGATTAACATTTCTGCATTTGACATTGAGAGCATAGGTGGTCATTTAGATATATTTTTGAGATGGAAAAATGCAGTTTTACAAATGCTAGAAATGTGGCTTTCAAAGGAAAGATTGCTATCAAATAGCACACCTAGGTTCCTAACTGATGACGAAGAATTGACAGAGCAGCCATCAAGTCTTAGACAGTGTTCTAGGTTATTACATGCAGAGATTTTAGGTTCTATAATCAACACCTCTGTTTTTTCAGAATTTAGCAGTAAGAAATTACTCGTCATATAGTTTTTAATATCGACTATGCATTCCGCTAGTTTTTGAACCATGCTAATGCACTTCCATTAATGCCAACAAAGTTTTCTAGTCTATTCAAAAGAATGTTGTGGTCAATAGTGTCCAACGCAGCGCTAAGATCCAGTAGCACTAATAGAGAGATACAACCACGATCAGATGATAAGAGGGATTAGAATTTACAGTTTTAGTTATATGAAGTTTGCACAAGACTAGATAATGATCTGAGATACCATCGCTTGGCTGCATAATACAAGTGTTTCAGTGAGTCCAGGAATTGTACAGTCATTGTATTTTAAATCAAAACGTGCTCCATATATTAGTGGTTCTTCAAGGAGCCAGTAAAGATATTTAAAATGTTCTTCTCTTTGTACTTTGAACAAGTTCCACACTTTAAAAACATTCCGATAAAAAATAGGCATTCCATTGATATCCAAGTCCATAAAAAAAAGATTTCTGTCCGATTTCAAATTTCCAAGATTTTGTAGTATTTTACATGCAACTACTTTCCAGCTTGAAGTTACTGAACCACTAAGAAGTTTTTGTAAAAATTTTAAACGGAAAGCTGCTGTTCTACTTTGCAGATGTACCAATCCTTGTCCTCCTTCTTTGTGTAAAAACAATATACTCTGAGGAACCCAATGTAACTTGTCCCAGAAAAAATCAACTAAAATCGCTTGAACCTCTGCTAACAAACGCAAAAGAGGATCTATGCAGGTTAATTTATGCCATAAAGAGGAAGCTATTCGATTATTTATAACTAAGGTCCGACCTCTATATGACATATTTGGGATTAACCACTTCCATTTCTCAAGTCGACCTTTAACTTTTTCAATAATTCCTTCCCAATTTTTTTGTACAGTTGCTTCATCTCCTAGAAATACTCCCAGATATTTAAAGTCTCCTTTTTTCCATACTAAACCAGGAGGAAGGGAAAAACACCCTCTTTTCCAATCTCCTATTAGTAGCGCTTCACTTTTTTCCAAATTAATTTTAGCAGAAGACAGTTTTTTAAAATCAAGTACACTCATTAAAACCTTTACATCACTCTGTTGGCTGACAAACACTAAAATGCCATCAGCATATGCAGAGAGGCTTATACTTTTTCCAA